TATAACCTACTTATTAAGTCCCCTGGGCCTCTAAGTAAACCTGAGCCCTAAACCCTAAACCCTAAACCTTAAACCCTGAACCCTAAACCCTAAACCTGAGCCCTACTTACTAAGTCCCCAGGGCCTCTAAGCCGTGGCAGCTGCAGGGTTTCGCTTCGAGTCTGGGGTGTTTGGGCTTCTAGGGTTTAGGGTGTTTGGGTGTTAGGGTTTAGGGTTTAGGGTGTTTGGGTGTTAGGGCTTAGAGTTTAGGGTTTTGGGTTTTGGGTGTTAGGGTTTAGGGTTTAGGGTTTTGGGTTTTGGGTGTTAGGGTTTAGGGTTTAGGGTGTTTGGGTGTTAGGGTTTAGGGTTTAGGGTTTAGGGTTTAGGGTTTAGGGCTTAGGGTTGCCGCAGTTAAACCTCGAAGCGATGATCCCAAAAGCCTCATCGTCCATGCAGAAAACACAGCCGCCAGAGAGGCAAGCTCAAAAAGAAGCCTCACTACCATGGTCACCACGGTTTAGGGTTTAGGGTTTAGGGTTTAGGGTTTAGGGTTTAGGGTTTAGGGCTTACACAGACTAAGCCCAAGAATCTTCAACCCTGGAACCCTAAAGCCTGCAAAAACACGAAGCCAAGACTCGGCTTCGCATTCTCCGTTCTTGCTAAGGGCATTGATGAAGGTACCGAGGCTGCCCCAGCAGGTGTCGTGCATCAACCGCTGGTTGCGATCGTGGGGATACATCTCCCGGTAAACCTTTCGCGGACGGGCTGGAGTTTAGGGTTTCAGCTTACTGTTTTGGCTTCAGGGTTTACGATTCTCGGCTTGAGATTCGGGGTGGAGAGTCTCGAACTTGTGGGATTAGGGTCTCGGGTTTGAGGGCCTTGCAACGCGTCCAGTGAAGTATGAAAGACAACGCTTGTCCCTGGTGTCTTTTGCAGTCAGGGCGCAAGAGATGTACGTCTTTAGACTTTAGATGTCTTGACCACCCTAACAAGGCTGCTGATAGCAGTAGCAACATAACTGAGAATCGCAAAAACGGTTAAGGAGATACCAACATCGCAGCATTGTGGTTCTTAAGGCTTCAGCATCCAAGGGTTACGCAAAAAGTGGACGCGATACATTTCGCAAGAGACCGAGGCCTCATGGAGCAGTACTTTCTGGTTCATGTAGTTCCTTGGTTGCTCAACCCTATGACCCAAAACCCTGAGCCCTAAATCCTGAACCCTAAACCAATCCCACAACCCAAATCCCAAATTAGCAGCTCAGAGTTACTGTACCAACAACAGGCCAAGGCTTTAAAGTATGGAAGTGTAATGTCCAGGCTGGAACAGCGTTTGGGTTTTTTGGGTTGCTTTAGGGTTTAGGGGTTTAGGGTCCGTGGCCCAGGGATTGTGATTCTAACTTCGGGTTTCAGACAGGTTTCAATGCCCACCCGACAAGTTTACTGAGAAAGAGAGAAGCAAGCACAATTACGGGTTCCCAATTTGGAAGTCAGAACAGAACGATCTGTCACGAGTCAACACAAAGTCTTGCCCAAAACCGCCGGAGGGTCAGCGCGAGGAACTGCACGAAGCTTGTCGCGAAAGCCTCATCCCGCGGCGACATGTTGAACTGACGGGCCTTAGCCTTGCGTGAGATCTCCGACTTGCGGATGTGGTTCTCGTGCTCCAGGTGGCATTTGTAGCCATTCTCGTCCTCACAAAGAGTTGCGACTTGCTTTCGGACCTTCCGAAGATTATCTGGAAATGGAGGAGGCGTGCGACACAACTATCTCCGAAAAAGGTAACCTACTACACCACTGCATCCTTGCACCAAACGTTGCACAGCCCACAGACCCAGCGCAGCTTGGTCTGAGTTCGCAGGAACTTGTTGTAAACCCAGCGTGTGCTGCCTGGATCTGCACGGCTTTTTCCGTGCTCGGACTTGTGGTAGCCGTTCATGCTTCACCCACGAGTCGGCATGAGAAGCTGCCCTGCACAACTACAGTACTTCTTGCTGTCTGCTGTCTTAGTGGTGCGGTTCTGGCGATTCTGGGCTTGGCATTGGATTCTGCCTTCTGCGGGCTCTGTACAAAGTCATCTGACACAATGCAATGAATGTCGACGGCTGAATCGTCACAGGCATGCTGTATCAGCATGAGGGATTGCCAAACATTCCTAAGGCCCCAACAACCCCAAACCCTCAATTCAACAAAACCCTCGCCAAAATCCCCATCTTCAATCCTGGAACCCAGCTGCCAGCAGACAGAAGACAGACCGACAGCTGCGGCCTTAGCCGTCCAAAAACCCAAAAATAAATATTACCTGTACACATTATATATATATATATATACACATACATCTTTTACATATAAGAACCAACCAACCCCTCACTCTCAATTGCTCCTGATAGACGGGGCTCCTTCTGCGACCCTAATAAACCCTAAACCCCACAAACCCTAAACCCTAAAACCCTAAACCCTAAAACCCTAAACCCTAAATGCAACCCTCATAACCCTAAACCCTAAAAACCTAAACCCTAAATGCAACCCTCATAACCCTAAACCCTAAAAACCTAAACCCAAATTAAAATGAATTCTGTCGCAGTAAGCGGGGTAGCTTGGGATGAACCTGCTCTTTACCACGACCTTCGGAGGTTTAGGGTTTAGGGTTTAAGGTTTAGGGTTTAGGGTTTAGGGTTTAGGGTTTACGGTTTACGGTTTAAGGTTTAGGGTTTAGGGTTTAGGCCTACCAAGAAAGCAAAACAAATCTTAACCCTTGCGGAGCTATACGTAGGTATGTAGGATTAAGGGTTTAGGGTTTAGGGCTTTCGGAGGCCCAAAAGGCAGGCTAAGCTGGAGGATTGAAGGTTTGAAACCCAAGCCTCAAATCCGTATCGCTGCTGCTTGAGGCTTAGAAACATTCCTTTCTGAAGGCTCTTGCGCAGTGTTAGGATGTATTTTGAGGTTGCTAATCGCTATACTTCCCCATACCTGATCTTAAAAGCCACAAAATCCCGACATCCGAAAAAAAACCTGGATTTAGGGCTGTTGTTTGAGCGCTCCTTTTCGGTCCGCATTTGCCTCCCTGAGTTCAGGGTCGCGAAGGTTTAAGCTGACTCTTTGCATAGCGAAGTTTGTGGCGTGGAGCAAGTCCCTAAACCCTAAACCCTAAACCCTAAACCCTAAACCCTAAAATATTGAGCCCTTCCGAAAGCCCGAAGATGCCAGTACTGTAGGGGCCTTATTGATTAGAAAAGGGTTTTGGGGGCTCCTTACTATAACTATAGTAGAATGGATCCCAAACCCTATTCTAATTATTAAGGGCCCTATAGTAGGTGTTTGGGATCGAGCCTGCCCAGGAGAGGTAGGAATTGCCCTTACCCCAGTGGCAATAGCCACGCGTGAGCCATTCCACGAAGTCCTGCCTGGCACCGGCGCGCGAGACGCCGACGATCCGAAGCTCGCTTCCGAGTGCACCAGGCACGTCGCGCTCAGGTTTTTCCTCGACGCTGCGACTTATTACTGCTGGAATCTCACCACTCCGTGCCGCTCTACCGGGAATCCTCTCGCCTCATGGGAGGAAGGAGTCGGGGCAACCGCACTCAATGGCAGGCGCCTCGAGAAGAGCAAGCCCGAGCTCCTGGACGCGGAGAGCAGGGATCGCAAAGCTGGGGCTACTGGCGTGGCAGCTGGCAGTCTTCGCCGAAGGCCAAATCTCAGCCCAGTGCTGCGGTCCGGTACGATCGATCTGGTGGAAAGGCTGCCATCGACAGGACGGCTCCTTGGAAGCCCCAGAGTGCGGAGCCGGAGACCGTGATGAATGCGGTTCAGCGCGCTTTGACTTCGACCCGGAAGGCAGATGTGCGGATCAGGAAGCTGCGCGAGGAGCGGGACAAGAAGGACGATTGCTGGCGGCAATTTGTCCAGAAATCCAAGAAGGAGTTCGCTACGCAGAGACGCCTGTACGAGGAGGACTTGACGAGGATCGACCGCGAGTTGGAGAGCGCGGCGGACCAAGGAGAACAGGCCGCGCAGAGGGTCAAGGACCTTGTTCTCTATGGTGCGGATGCGTTGGCTCCCGCTCCGCCTCCGCAGGAAGAGCCGGCCGACATGGAGTGGGAACAGTTAGTGGCTACGGAAGACCGCTCCGACGAGTCGACTGGTTTCTACAGAGAAGCTCTGCGGGCTGCGAAGCAGTTTTCTGGCGGGTCTCCTACCCCGTCGGATGCCACGGTGCGGGCTGTTCTTGCAGAAGCCCTTCCCTGCAAGACTCCGGTCCGTGCAGGGCCCCCGCGCTCACCTCTTCCCTCAGCTGTGTTGCAGCATCCCAGTGTGGCTCTTCCACCTCCTGGACTATCCGCTGCTCCGGTGGAAGATGGCTATCCTTCCCCTCCGAGCCTTGGGGAAGCTCCTTCACCAGTGGTCAGTGCGATGAACAAGCTGCGGGTGGACGGGACTCCACCGACCAAGGTGCATCCTGGCCAACGCGATGCTACCAAGCCTCGCACTCCGACACATGCCGAGGCTCCGCGACAGGGCATCAAGGAAGCCACTATGTCAGCTCCTCACCACGACAAGCCGGAAGGATCCGCGCTCTCCCGGAGGCTGGCAGAAAGGCGTCAACTGGAGACGGGTCGAGCCATGCAGGCTTTTGGTGGCGCCGGTTGTGCTGGCGAAGGTCCAGTCTTGCCGGCTGCCCCGATGGCAGCTGCCGATCCACTTCCTCCCGGTCCCAGTTTTGTGGAAGACGACGAGGACGAGCCTCCGAACTCTCAGGAATCCAACGGCCTTCGCAGGATGGAGTAGCATGCAGTGCAAGCCGGCTTAGGAATAGGTCGGAGGGATCATTGTCCGGGCTTCATGAGGTTGGCAGGCTGGATCGGCCGGGTCTTTTGAGTTCCTGTGGTTGGAACTCACTGACCCTGTTCCTATTCGGTCAATGCCCTCCTTCTGGTACCTCGGCGATGATGTACTCAGGACCTGTTCGGTTTCACACCTTCGGACGTTGTGACTCCTTTTTTGCGGCCGGCCCTGGTCCACTGCTCTGTCCGCCCTGCTGCCCTCCTCATCCTGAAGCTTTTCTTGCTTCAGGTTGCAAAGGCTCCTCTTTTACTGTCTTCGTCGCCTGGACTTTGTTGTCCTCGGGCGCCTCAGTACCTTTGCTTTGGCCTTGTGCTGATGGCGTCCCCCGCCCTACTGCCGTCTGCATTTGTGGATTTGGAATTGTATCGGTTGTGCCGCCTGTCTTCTGTCCTTCCTCTCGCGGTCCTGATCCTTTCCTACGCAGCTGTGCTGGTGGTCGCTGGCCACCCCCTTTTCCCTCTTTGCAGGGCTTTTATGCTCGATTTAGCAGGGCGCCAAACATGCGAATCGGTGGCTCTGGGTCGCAGGCCTGCTTTCGAGTTCTCACTCCCAATCCTTCTTGGCACCCTTCGGGTTTAGGCCTCCTACCCCCTAGTTGGGTTTGTAGAGGTCCTGCGGTCGGTGAAAGCCGTGGATCTTGCCTTGAGACTGCAGGGGTACCTCGCCCGTTCGGTCCATTGGAGGGTTGCTTCGGCTTGGTGCGAGAAGCCGACCCTCCGTCTTTACCCAGCCCTCAAGCGCGCAACACCCGTATCGGTCGCTCAGGGACGGGGGCTAGGGCTGGGGAGACTTTTGAACCTCTTTTGTGCACCTTGTGTGATGCGTGCACTGCCCTGATGCACACCTTGCCCGGGGTTGTGCTGCTGTGCCTGGTTGCACTACTGTTCGCCCCAGGCATAGCGAGAGGCGTCCCTGCCTTTCTTCCAGGAGGGTCACTGCCTTACAAGTTGCGTCCCCCTCTTCTCCTGTGTTGCGCTGGACCCTGTGCACTCATCAGCGTAGGGTGGTCCTGCCAGGGACTGGTTTTCGACTTCTACGTTTGCGGCTTTTGTGTGCATTGCTGGGATTTTCCAGTATGCCCTCCTGTGTATGGGCTGCACCTGTGGGCTGGCCTGGGGCCGGCCTTGGTTCATACCTTCCTGTTGGGCCGTCTGTAATTCCTCCCTTCGCCACTGCTGCTGTGAGCGCAACTTCGCGCTCCCCGGGGAGAACCAAGCATCCCGCTTCCGATCGTCGCAAGGCAGCGGGCTTGCAGTTCGTATCGGTCCCGCCTATCGCTGCTTCGGTTGCTGCGAATGACGGCCCTGTGTTAGGCGTGACCATTTATGCCCCGCATTTTGGGTCCGTTTCCTTCGGTGTCATGTCTTGCGCACCGATTGACCTTGAGGAGTTGGTGGCCCAGGTCAAAAGGTCGAACATGCTTCCGGCCCCTTGCTTGGATTTCATAGTGCCCATTTCTGAGCAAAGGTTTCCATGCACAATTGAGCTGCTTGCATTTCCTTCCTTTTTGCATCAGTTGCAGCCCGCTCACTATGCAGTTATGCTCGATCTAACCCGTGTCGGTGGACATTATCATGCTGCTTCCTTCCCTGAAGGACTTACGCTGCAAGGTCTCCTCGCCCATTTGGAGACGCTGATGTGGTATCGCTCCGAGGATGTCGATGTGTGGATCGGTGCTTCTGAGTTCCCTGCTTCACGGGGCGCCCTCTCGTTCGCTTCAGGGTCCACTTTCACCGTTCTGTGTAAGGGCGTGAGGCCCGCACGGGCTTACGACTTTCGACGTGTCCTTTCTTCACCCCTGGAATGGGGTCCCTTCGAGCACGCACCTCGGCCTTCGAGTGCCTTGCATCATGCCGTCTTCTGTGAGAGACGCTGGTCTCGGGTTCCCTTTCCTACACTTGCGACCTGCTGCTTAGAAGATTCAGTTCGCGATGCCCTGAATCTGTCTCCGGAGGCAGGTTTACTTCAAACTAGGCCGCGTCTCAATCTTGCTGTACATGGAGACACCTGCCACACCGTGTTTGCGGCGGCCTCTACGGCGCCGGCTTGGCTAATTGATTTGAGGCCGCTAGGTTTCGCGATGCGGATACTCCACAAAACTGGCCGGCCGGAGGTGGAGGACATTCTGTCGCTCATCACTTTTGCTCGACCGGGCGACTCCTTTCCTGGCTGCCCCTGTCAGATCTCTGCTAGTGTACGGGTTGCATGCACGCCGGAGGTATGTGAGGTCAGCTCCGATGACAGCCTTCCCATTGTCGGTGTGCGCTTCGTTTACTCGCAGGCTGGCTCTGAAGATGTGGCCTCCCTGCTGGGATCCTGCGACCAAGCAGTTGCAGGTGCGGCGGACCCGCCACAGGCGCAGTGCAGGAGCCTATCCTCAGGTACCCCTTCCCTTTCACAGGCTGCGCAACACCATGTTGCTCTTGATGAGAGGGAGCATCTTCCTGCTCCTTTCCACAGGCTAGAAGGTGTTCCCCTTGCGGCTGAGGAGGTTGCTCATGCTGGCGCCAGCCAGTCGACGACCACTCGTCTGGATATGCCTGTAGCCGAATTCCGCAGCCTTTCTCAGGGCACGGATGCAATACGGCAGGCTGTACAGGCACACGTCGACCGAGCAGATGAGGAACATCTGCCGGTACCATTCCAACGACTTGATGGTTTTGGCCTCCCCGCGGACCCGCATGCTGCTGTGCACACAGATGAGTCGGAGGAGAGCTCACACGAACACCATTGTCGGTCTACCTTTGTTGTCCTTGTTCCGGATATGACACCAGAGACAGTGCAGGTTGAGTTGGACGCGCCATGCAGCGTGGACACGGCCATCCAGGCCTTGGTTGATGCGTCCGACGCCAGTCGCTATCGCTTCTTTCCTCGCTTCCTCGAAGTGGTGCCGCAGCCCTGTCAATACTGGGGCACGGTTTTGGCGCTGCCACCATGGTCGGAAGCCGAGCCCATCTCGGTACTGGATCTCTTGGAGATAGATGGTCGCTTATACGCCACGTACCTGCCAAACCCCTTTACCAGGGGGCAGGCATTCCATGCAGCTCGTCTGCCTGATGGGGTAGACTATGCCGTCTTTGCGTATGGCCACTTTGTGCCCATGGCACCCGGTGACAGGATCGATGTGCAGGAAGGGGGAAAAATCTCCTTTCGACGTGCGGGTGCCGCACATCTTGTTCAAGGCCCGTCCCTGCGGACCATGTTGGCCAGTCCGTATGGCTGGGACCCGGAGCCTGTGTTGCCATTTTTACCCGCCGATAACAGGGTTTGTGTGGTTCATGAGTCCGGGTATGATTTGGTGGTTGCTGAGCCCGACTACAGCGAAAGTGACCTGCTGCCCCTCGCCCGGGCCGCCAGTCGGCTGCCGCGAGAGGAAGTTCTGTTTGCTGTCGGAAGACCCGAGACTCAGGATGTCTCGTGCCATGGCGTACCTTGTGAGGCCATCTGCGCTATCGCCCCTGATGATTTTGGATTACAGCCATGCGTTGTCTTGGTCGATCAGAGACCACTACTGGAAGGGTGGTCGCTTTGGTCGTCTCATGATGGGACCATTTCACACGTGGAAATCACCGGCATGCTTGAGACCTTTGTGCCTAATGGGTGGCAGGTACAGGTACTTGGGGCACCGATCGAGGCTGGCTTTCTGCAGGTCAGGAATGGGGATGTATTGGTTGCTGAATTTGTTCCGAATACGTCTCCGGAGGAGACCCCGCGGCAGCCTCCGTCACCCGGTGACTCCTCAGATGACGGTTCAAGTAGTCTGGATGATGCTGATACGACTTCTAGACGTGACTGCACCAATCCCGGGTCGGGAGCTCTCGGGAACGCAGTCGACGCTATCGGTGGAGCGTACAGAGAGCGTAGCAGGTCCCCCAGGCCAGGTGCAAACAGCGATTTACATTCTCACATGGCATGGAACATCTCAGCCCGACTACTTGCGTCCATCACCTGCGTGTGGCGTCCCGTCATTGACACCTTGTCACATTTGACTTGTCGGCTTCTGTCTGAGCCTCGTGGTGCAACCGCCTCTGAGCGGCACCACCTTGACACCCTCCGGAGCATCACTGGGGCCTTGGGGGGCACCTGGCATCCGACCTTGCCCGTTTTTCTTCAGGAATTGCTGCCGACTGCCGAGGATACTGCTTCTGAAGCAAGCGAGGGATACGGTCCGCGGACTTGCTGGGTCTCTTGTGTTGTGCTCAAACTTGATTACGTCCCTGAAAAGGTCACTGTGGCTGTTCACCTCCCTTGCACACAGCCCGAGCTCGAGCATGCATTGCAGGATGCCCGAGATCCCGCCCTGCGTAGACTCTTTCCAACACTTACTGCGGTGCTGCCCCAGCCCCGGTCAGGTTTTGCAGTCTTTATCGCTCAGCCACCGTGGAACACGCCTGGCATCGCGGTTTGCTTTGAGCTTGCGGGCGTGGATAATAGGCTATTTGCTACCTTTGTCCCCGAGTATGTCACATGCGGTGAGATCCAAAAGCTTGCAGAGCTCTCTCCTGACTCGGGGGTACAGATCTGGGCCGGACCGCAGCTGGTCCGTCTGCTTGATGGCGAGCCCGCCCATGTCTTTCCTGGTTTGTTGCTGTGCTTCACGCCTGCAGGGCGACTCCCGCCTACTGCCCACACTCTGGGTGTCATGCTCCTCGACCCTGAGCTCTGGAGCGACATCGCTGTTCTTGACGAACCTCTGTCTGACTGTGCCTTTTGTCTGGTCACCGAACGACGCAGTCAGGTCCTCCTGCTTGAGGCGTATGAAATGCCACAGTACAGACGCCATATCGCGTCCGCGACTGGTGTCGAGCTGTCCAGGCTCCGTTTGTTTGCCGAACAGCCCCAGGTGAGAGATACCGCGGTGAATGGAACCTTTTGCCACTCGGTGATAGCCATTGGTTGTCAGGACTCTCAGCAACAGACTTGCTGGAGTCTTGCATTGCTGGATTGTCGACCCATCGAGCTCGGCTGGCGACTGACCCAGGTTGCTGGAGGTGTTGTTGACATCGGCCGGGTAGTAGACGAGTATGATCAAAGCGCTCCACTAGGATGGAAGGCGTTTGTCCCCGATGTTCCTGCACAGACAGGCAAGGCTGCAGCCTCACCGGGACAGGTTTTTACGGTCACCTATGCCCCAGCTCCGACTGTTGCTTTTCCTCTGTCCAGCAGTTCCGATACAGCCAGGGCTAGTGTCACCCCCACAGGGACCGCCACTTATCCGGCATCGCGAGGGAGCGCCTGGAACGAGTCGGGCGCTGATACGCAAGGTCGGGGAGGCCCGCCCTCGACTGCTGCTCATCCTGACAGCAGCGTTGCGTCTATCGATACAGCAATGTGCTTTGCCCTACTTACGCCAGCGTACAGCACTGAGGTCGTCACGGTCCGGGCCAGCCTGCCGACGCAATCTGCTGATGTGGTTGGACAGATACAGCATGCACGGGATGTCACCCGGCAACACCTTTTTCCTAGGCTGCAGGTTGTCCCAGTACAACCCCCGTTCTCTGCCTTGCCGGCATGGCCCTTTGAGGGAGTGCCGATAGTGCTTGCGTGCTTTGTCCCACCTTGCCGAGTGTTTGCGGTCGTCGTTCCTGACGTCCTCCGGCACCCTGCCATCATGCGTCTGATTGACGCGCCTGTCGACACCCAGGCCCGCGTGTACATCAATGATGTGCCCTGGGAGATACCTGTTGATGCTCTCGTGCATCTGCACCCGGGAGACTTGATTACAGTTGTCCCTTTGGCCGATGAGGTTGCACCCCCCATCCCCCTGGAGTGCTTGCTTATGACCACGTGGGGGTGGCCTTCGGACCCTGAGGTGCCGCTACCTGCCGATGAAGCCATTTGGCTTCTTACTGACCAGATGGGTTGTAGGTACACAGGACAGCAACGTGGGAGAGTACCTATGTGGCGCCTTGTCGCAGAAACGTTAGGCATCAGGCCCTCTTCGTTCGTGTTTATGCCCTCGGAACCGGCGATCAGAGATCATTCGTCGGCAGGGCATTCTTCGCGACACGTCTTTGTAGCGGTCAGCATCACTGACCCAACATTGGTTCCGTACATTCTGGACTTGAGGCCTGTTCTACTTGAGGTAGGGTGGGCCGCTGCCCCTAACGGAAGGGTTCTGGTTTCAGACATCTGCACAAGGCAGGTTCGTCGGTGTCCTCCAGGTTATGTGGTTCGCCTTACTGGCGGGCATTCCCCTCTCGGGGAAGAGAATCACTTCCGACACGTGAGCCCAGGGAGAGTACTTACCGTGACTTTCGTGCCTCGTTGGATGCACAGTTCACCGCCTCCTGACGACGGTGGATCTGACGGACCGGAGGATGATGGTGATGGAGATGCGGGCGATGGTGCCGGTCCCGATGACCGTAACCAGCCACACTCTTCTGATTTAATTCTCGATGCGCAACCGGCCGCACAGGCACAGGCAGGCGGTGCCGAGAATATTATCGGCACGGATGTTCCGAATACCGGCGCTGCGTGGAGCAGTCGAGTAGCCACGTGGGGTAGGAAGTTTTCACGATATGCCTTTCCTGAAGGCCCCTCCTACCTCACCTCTGTCCTCCTGCTTTTCATGCAAATGTATGCCAAGGCTACGCGCTTCCTCGTCGTGTGTTTCTCTGCGGGTGTCTGTCGCCTTCTTCCGTGCGTCGGTGCACCTGTTGCGTTCGCACGGGCTGGATCTTATTCAGTCCGATCCATGTCCAGCCTGACTTTTTCTTGCGGTCAGGTGTTGAGTCGGTTTTGTTCCCAGGCACACAAAGCCGGACATGTGCCTCCCCTGGCCAGAGAAGTTCGCAGGAGTGGCAGGGGGTTTGCTATGCCTCGCCAAGGGAACACTGCCTGTCTACTTTTTGCATACCTGTGCGTCGCCCAGGTTGCTGGAGTCCCCATGAGGGAGGAGGCGCCCAAGTACTCCGACATATACTCCTATAGGGATATTTCTCGGGAAGCTGTTAGGGCCATTCCGAGGCCTCTCCAGGTCCACCGACATGATGTCCCCGCACCAGGATCTTGCCATACCCGGCTTCAGACACAATTGCAGTTTATTCCAGCCGCGACTCAGAGCGCAGTCCTACCACGCTTTGAGGTTGCCGAGGTGTGGGCGGATATCGAAGGGGAGGCCCTGATCACACTTCTTGAGGAGTCTGTTGCGCAGCCTGCATCGGAAGCCATGTTCCTTGCCTCTACTTCCCCCCTTTAGACGGTCATTAAACACTTTCAGGTCACGCGAGGGGAAGCTCAAAATCATTTTGGATTGCCCGTGCTTAGGATTGCCCCCGAGCCTGTTGCCTTAAAACTGGAGGATGCCGTTCCACTTACTGCGCACCAACAGGATGTATTGTTGCTTCAGTCGTGCCTACCACATGCCCTCCCGTCAGAGGAGGTCGACTGGCTAGACACTGATCTGACAGCTGTCCTTAGCTTCCAAGAGGTTGGTCTTGATATCAGGACTGCCCTCATCAACATTCCCATTTGGTGCCAGTCCGGCTCGCCGAAGCCCGACAGAATCGACATTTACACAGATGGGTCAGCCGCGTCCGAGCTGACTAACATCCAGCCATGCGCTTGGAGTTTCGCTGTCTTCGCGATAGCGGACAACCGCCCATATCTGTTGGGACACGCAGCCGCGCAGTCAGCCCCGCCAGATACGCCCTACTTCTTAGGTGAGGTCCTCGAGGATGCGTTGACAGCAGAACTGCTGGCCCTTTGTTGGGCTATGTGTTGGGCGGCACAACACGGCCCCCAATATGCTGTAGCCACGCACTTCATGTATGATGCCTTAGGCGCAGGCCAAGGAACCTTCGGTACGGCCAAACCAGTTAGCGGGGCCGTCCCTGCACATTATAGTGGGCTCGCTGCTTTCGCGGTTTCTTTGCGTCATTATCTCAATGCCCGCCTGCCGATTGCACACAGACATGTCACAGGCCACACAGGATGTCTGGGCAACGAGCTCTGCGACGCCTTGGCGAAGCTCGCCCGCTCACAAGCGAGCAGCCCATTTGACAGGTGCTTGCCCGAATGGCCCGCCCAACGGGCCAAACATCCACTAGCAGCATGGGCTTGGGCCACCGTCCCAGGCCAGGCTGATGTCCCGCAGCTTTACTGCTTTGATGCGGAGGTTTCTCTGTCGCAGTCCCAACCTGCGGAAAAAGCTGAGGCTCCCGCACATGGTGCGCGAAAGCGTACCGAGATTGCAGCCGCAGCAGAGTTCCATTTCACCAGTGTTAGTGTTAACGTTCTTACACTGAAAGACAGAGGCCCCGTTTCAGGTGAGCAAGGTGTCGGTATGCGCATACTCGGACGCAAGGATGTATTAAAGGCAGCCCTTGTTGAACTGAGCCCTTTGTTTGTCGGTCTTCAAGAAACGCGTCTGCCAGACGCTGCTGTCCTGCCGGACCCGGACTATCACATCTATAGCACAGCGTCCTCCAGCCAAGGTTCAGGCGGCTGTTCCTTGTGGATTGCTAAGGCGGTTTCCCTGTACAAAGCGCCAGGTGACGTCCGTTATATCAGTTCTACCGATGTCACCGTCACTGGGGCCTCACCGCGCCACCTTGTTGCGTGCGTTCAGACCCCTCGCTTTAGCCTGCAGCTCTGTGTTATTCATGCCCCTTCGACAGCCAACGTGCCAGTTGCTGAGGTCCGCGAGTTTTGGAACCACTGAGCAACAGAGATTTTAGCCAGGCCAGAAGGCATGGACTACATTGTCATGTGCGATGCCAATTCTAGGCTTGGGGAAATAGTTTCTGAGTCTGTCGGGGACTGTGGAGCAGAACAGGAAGGCCAGGCAGGTGCGCTGTTTCATGAATTCTTGCTCAAAATCGATGCCATAGTGCCTGCTACCTGGCCAGAGTGGCACACAGGCCCGCATCATACTTGGAGCTCTCCGCACGGTACCACCTCGCGCATTGACTACGTCCTTGTGCCGCGTCACTGGAGGATTGCCCACCTCTCCTCACATACCTGTCCGCAGGTTGAGCTTCTGCAGTTGCGGGAGGATCATATCCCAGTTTGCCTTTCCTGCAACTTTGCGCGGCCGCTCCCAGCTCTTGTCTACACCTGCCCACATAAACGTGCATACAGGCCAGATCTCGCAGCCACCGGCCCTGCTGCTAGCCGACTGCTTACTCAGGCTGTGCCTGTTACGCAGTGGACTGCCTCAGTTGATGATCATTACCATGGCCTTGTGCAAGCATGGCAGAAGGTTGGTTCGAGCCTTGACCCTTGTGAAAAGGCAACTCCCAGCCAACCCTACCTCACTGATCATACGCTCGACATTGTGGTGGAGCGCAAGGAGCTCCGGGTAGCGTTGAAAGCAGCCTGTAAGGAAAGAGTCAGGAAGTGGCAGCTCATTGTCTTTGTTGCGCTCCTCTTGCAGGCTGAAGACAGGAGTTTTTCACAGGCCCAACAGCAGGTTGCGGACCGCTGGCTTCGCGAAGCTGACGAAGAAGAAGCAACCCTTCTGGCCAACTATAAGAGGCTTGCTCGTTCCTTGAGACGCGCTGTTGCCATCGACAGGACCGCGTACCTTGATCGACTAGCACAAGATGTAGCAGGCGGTAGTGTCGGCGACCCCAAAGCTCTTTACAAGTCTCTCAGGAAGGCGTTCCCAGCAGCCAGGGCCTCCCGTAGGCAAGGTATCGTTCCCTTACCAATGCTGCAACTTGCGGACGGCAGCACTGCCAACACTACCTCCGAGCGAGCAGAGGCGTGGAGGCGGCACTTCGCGTCCCAGGAGGCTGGAAGGCCCGTGGATGAGGCCGGCTATACTGCTGCATTCGCCAAGCACCGCATACAGCCCCACAACTTGGACATTCATGTCCTCCCCACGTTAGGTGCACTTGAGCGACACATTCTGGCCGCAAAGAAGGCACGGGCTGCAGGCCCGGATGGCATCACTTCAGAGCTACTGAAGGTTGATGTTCCTCTTGTTGCGAGGCAGCTTATTCCAGTCTTCCTAAAGGCAAGTTTGAGAACGAGAGAGCCCATAGCATTCCGAGGAGGTGAGCTGATGTGCCTTGCGAAGCGTGCAGGGCAGGTCATGGGGTGCGAAGCCTACAGCTCCATCCTCATTTCCTCTGTGCCAGGCAAGCTCTACCACAGATGCCTGCGAGAGACTGTTAAGCCTCTCCTCCTCTCAGATCAGCCATCCTTTCAAGCCGGCATTGCGGCTGGACAAGGGATCGAAGGGATCGCACTCGCAGTACGTTCCTTCTACGCCTTGTGTCAGGCCACTCGACAACCGGCCTCTGTTACTTTCTTCGACCTCCAAGCAGCATTCTACCAGGTCCTAAGGCAGGCGCTCGTACCACCTACAGAAGATGACACAGAGCTCCTCCGGGTGCATGCATCACCTCCAACTACCGACAGGCGCCATGCAGGAATTGTGTGACCAGCTACGGCGAGTAACCCAATTGCCTCATCTCGGCGCTACCTCGCACACCGTTGCACTAGTCCAGGATCTCTTCCGAGGAACATGGTTCCGGCTGTCAGGCTTCACACAACTGACGGTCACTGCCAGGGGATCACGACCGGGCGACCCCACTGCCGACCTTATGTTTGGCTTCACTCTCTCTGCACTTATTCACGCGGTACAGACTAGCCTGCGTGATAGAGGCCTCGTGCCCACACTCCCTAGTCCAGCTGCCAGGCCCGGGAATCTCGACGATGTCGGTGAGATAGATTTAGGTCTGCCTGCGTGGGCAGATGATTTCGCAGCCCCACAAACAGGTACAGACCATTGCGGGCTGCTCCAGCGCACCCGTAGCACCATCACCACTATCGTGGACTTTGCGACGTCAATGGGCATGACGGTCAAGTATGGCCCGGAGAAGACCGCAGCCATGTTCCCCCCCGCCGTCCTCCGCAGCCAGCAAAATGCCTTTGGTGCAGATGCAGACGGTCGGCCTGCTCTGGACCTCGTCAACGGAATCACATCGGTTCCCTTTCAGGTTCCCATTGTTGAGGCCTACCGTCACCTGGGTGGTATCATTACCTCGACCGGTACACCATTGCCGGACCTTCATTTTCGGTTCTCCCAGGCCTCAGGGACACTCAAGCCACTCCGCCGCAGATTGTTTGGTACACGCACTATTCCGGTGCATCTCAGGGCATACTTTATGCGCGCCCTCGTTGTCTCCAAATTTGCCCATTCTGCAGCCGCACTTCTGATGCATGCAGCGTACCAGGTACGTGTGTGGGAGCAGCACTACATGTCCTTGTGGAGGGCGCTCTTCCACCGGAGAACTGCAGCTGAACAGGTCCACAGCTTCAAGGTGCTGCTAGAGGCCAAGGCCCTTTCGCCTCCGTTGGCGCTTGCAAAGGCACGTGCTGGTTTTTTGCGCCGCTTATATTTGCATGGGCCGCGCCCTCTGGTTGCTTTGTTGTGGGATCACTGGACTCAGCACCCCCGGACTTCGTGGTTTGAGCAAGTGAAGCAGGACATTGAGCATGTCACCCAATATGTGCCTTCTGTTCGAAATGTCCTCAGATCTGCAGACCCCGTCGCCGCGCTCTTGGACTCATATGAGACAGATAGCTCCTGGTGGCCACGACAGCTCAAGGCTGCTGAAAAGGCGTTCTATGAGGACCTCACGAGGTGGAATAACGAGTGCAGGCTAGGAGCTACCTCTGCCGTTCCCACTGCAGTGACTCAGGACCCTAGCTCGTTTCCGTGCTACTTATGCGGCGCTTCGTTTCCCTTGCGCAAGCATCTGCATGCGCACTTGGCGCGGACACACTGCGTGTATTCCCCGACACGTCATTACACGCTCGGCCCCACATGCTCTGCCTGCCTTAAGGTGTTTCCAGGTGTGAAGCAAGCCCAACACCACCTTAAACATGCGACCGACTGTCTCTACCGCTGCCTCTACCTCCATGCTCCTCTCTCTTACGAACAGATTTTGGAGTTGGAGCGACCTGATGCACAACGCGACGCAGCGGTCAGGCGTGGCCAATGGAAACAATTTCGGGGGCTTCAGTCAGCCCGTGTCCCGCAAGCCTTTGGGCCTCGCCTCCCCACCGCGGAGGAGCGACTCACAGAACCGGTCTCGGAAGACGACCCACTTACCAGTCTCGCCAGAGGCTTCGTGCCCAAGCCTGCGCACATTGTCTGGATTACGGACCACATTGGGCAGCGAAGTGTAGAAGGCCCCAACCCCAAGGCACATAGGTTCTGGAGTCTGCGACCTACGTTTCCCCTTTCGAATTTATGCACGCAGTTTTGGGACGCGTCAAGCCGCGCCACAACAGGTGGCCTTTGACTCAAGAGTCCGCAAGAAGAAGAAGAAGGGCCCTATAGTAGATATAGGGGTTATGGTTGAGGGATCAGGGCTACTATACGGCTTACGATAAGGGCTGCCCAACAAGGGTGACTACAAGGTTTTACTGTGAAGGCTGCTATACTTAGAGGCCCAGGGGACTTAGTAAGTGGGTTATAAGTAGAGCTATAAGTACCCTAAATGGAGTTACCCCACTTATAACCCTACTTATAACCGACTTACCAAGTCCCCTGGGCCTCCAAGTTGTGTCTTGTGGATTTTTGTAGGGGGTTTGGGGTGTGGGGGTTAGTTGGGGGTCAGGGTTTAAAGGCTTGGGGTACAGGGTTCGGGATTCAGGGTTCAGGGTTTAGGGCTTAGGGTCCGAGGGCAGCGCCCGTAGTTTGGATTTAGGTGTGATGTTGGAGTTGGGCCCGGTCCAGGCTTCAGGGTTTAGGGTGATTCAGCCGAAGGTGTGGGGTTGCTGTCCGTCCTGATTCCAAACACCCGTCTAGGGTTTAGGGTTTAGGGTTTAGGGTTTAGGGTTTAGGGTTTAGGGTTTAGGGTTTAGGGTTTAGGGTTTCATTCGGATCTTTGCTTGAAGCGAAGCATGCGCACAGACGGTTTCAGGCAAGGCTGGGTACCAAAGAAAGACCTGCACCACAACGCCCAGGGTCCATACAAGCGGTGTCGCTATGATTTCTACTATGGACATCTGCCACAAGCTTGGTCCAATGGGGTTGCTCCGGTGTTGGGTTTGCCGCTCGTGGACATAGTTTACAAACGTGGCTTCCGCGAAGGCAACCCAAATACAGAGCAACCCAAACATGCAGGAAGCGGTGATCCCCTTTGCTTGCGTCCAACAGAAGCTCAACATACATAGTACAATGTTAAACAGGATCCGGATTCAGACCTTCCTACTGTAAAAGGTCACCACTTCACGCGGAAAGTCTCACGGAATGCTAGGGAAGGGAACAATTTCCCCCTTCTGGCCGAAGCCACTTAAATCTGCACTTCCGGTGTTGGCCCGCCAAAGGCCTTGAAAGCCCAGGGCGATGCCGAACTACACGGTAAAGACTTCTCTTTGCTGCAGGCGACCGGCGGACGTCACATGGCATCACGGTCTAGGGTTTGGAGCGCTTGCTCCAAAACTTGCAAAAAACAGGTGGAAATTCCACCTTAAGCAGTGCATGCTTACCAGCATCAGCGGTTCAGGAGAAGATTGAGCCCTTTGCCCTGTTTACGCACTGATTGCTTCGCCTTGAACCTGAGATTCTCGCCCTGAACACCTAAGGTCCTATTCTAGGCTTAGGGTTTAGACTTTTAGGATTGGGTTTGGGGTTGGGTTTAGGATTTAGGGCAAGACTCTCTGAACCTTCACCGGTTACTCAAGTTCAGGCCTACAACATATGGGTGGTTGTCAAAATTATGGTCCCCCTTTGGGTCCTTGTTCTACTACGGCACCTATTATTTAGGGTACCCCAAAAGGGACCATAATTTTGACAACTACTCATATGGCACAGAGCCTCGTCCTCACCTTCAACCCTCAGCTCTAACCCCTCAGGCCCATCTCAGAAGCTCGAAACTCGAGGACCCAGATTGCCTCAACCCGGAACCCAAAATAAAGCCTTCGCTATGCCCCCCCATATCAGAAGAAGCACTGCATCTCATCCTGAATGCTGTACCTGTTTCTGGTGCTCCTGTATGAGCTTCAGAACGCTGCAGCTTCGGGCCAACCTTGCTGGCTATTCAGGGGTTTCCAAGCTTTTGGGGTTAGGGTTTTAAGTTCTCGGTTTCGGGTTTAGGGTTTAGGGTTTAGGGCTTTGGGTTTAGGGTTTTGGGCTTCGGCTTTTGGGTTTCGGGTTTAGGGTTTAGTGTTTAGGGTTTAGGGTTTTGGGTTTCGGGTTTCGGGTTTGGGTAATAGGTTTGAGGTGTCGGGGGGTTCAGCGTGGCCACTACGCGGTGGACAGCTTGGCGGCGGCTTTGTTTCAGGGATCAACGGTAGGAGGACGTGTCAGTCTTGACTATGGCGTTGGGATTTTGCGGTCCCCAACCAGCACCATCTCCAAATGCACAAAGCCCCCAAACCACCAGACCTTACACGATTCATGCTGATAGTAGTCGAAAACTCGGGAATTGGAGTGTAGGGCTGGGCTGCTGCCTCCTACCGAGCCTTCTTCAAGGGCTTGGGTCCGGGCCCCTCGAACCCGCCGTGGCGTGAGACCCAAAAGGAATCACACTCCGCTACCATGCAAAACTGACTTTTCACAAGCCTTCAGGGCCGCATGTTAGAATAGTGATGATCCACCGGCATGGGTATACTGCTGACAATAGTAATGATGATAATAACGACAAACAGACTATTGATAATTAGGCTAAACACACTCATGGTCATCATGATAAACACACTACCGATAATAATGATGAACAATCGTACTCGAGTAGCACTTTGTGTGCTGGATGCTTTGGCTTTGGCTCCCCACCAACAGCCCCGAAAAGCCCAAGCGACAGACCTGAGAAGCCCCAAAGGAGGTTTTGGGGGTTTGGTGGCTTTGGGAGCTGTTTTCAAGGGTTTTAGGGTTTGGGTTTTAGGGCGGCAGGGTGATTGAAACCCAAACCCTCAACCTTTTAAGTCGTAAGCCGAGCCCCTGCCCCGAATCCTGACCGTCCTTCAAGTAATATAGGGGCCTTAGTAACTAGAATACGGTTTGGGGCTCATTATACTACAGTTATAATAAGGAACCCCCAAAATAGTATAGGTAATTAATTTAGGCCCCTACATCACTGCTGGGAGCCACGTAACTGGAAGGCTGTGTGTCCCCTCGCATTGCGGAGTTCTGCGTCGGCGCGGGCCTCCAGTAAGAAGTGCACCATTTGCTCACTGCCGAACAAGCCTTCGATCTCTGTGGCATGTTTGCTTTTCTTCGGGAATTTCTTCGGTCAGAGGTTTAGGGTGCAGCCACCTAGGCACAACTATAGTTTTCTGTATATATTCTTATAGCATTATATTTATATTATCATAGTATGATCTAGCTTTCTGATTATTCTTATAGCATCACTTTTATATTGTCATGGTATGATTAGTACAGTCTTGTGCGCCCAGACTCCAAGAAACCCAAAGCACCAAAATCCTGAAAACCTGAACGCCCAGGTTGGAGCTTAGGAGTTCAGGGTTTAGGGTTTAGGGTTTAGGGTTTAGGGTTTAGGGTTTAGGGTTTAGGGTTTAGGGCATACGTTGGGCTTCGGGCTTTGGGCTTCAGGTAAATAGGGTTAGAGCTTCGGCTTGAGGGCAGGTTGTTGCTCCAATCACGGTCGAGATGCACGCAAAGCCCAAGGGTGTGGTGGTCCATTCTCCGAAAACGGAGGCTAAGACGCGACAGCGCACCTGTACTCCAGAAAAGGGCTCAAGCCTCCTGTTTCGGGGTCCTTTAGGTTTTTCTGTTTAGGGTTCAAGGCTTGAGACGTATGGCTTGTGCTCCGATGCAAGCTTAAGGTTTAGAGGCTGGCTAGCGCCTAACAGACGCAAAGAACCGCACTAGAAAAACAAGGGATCTGCAGCCTCAAACTCGGAACTCGGGAGCGCAGGTTCTCGTTACTAGGGCTTAGGGTTCTGGGGTGTGTTTAGGGCGGGTTAGGGCGCAGGGTTTGGGGTTTAAGGTCTAAGGATAAGCTCCCAATGCTCCTATGATTACTACTAGAGCTACTACTACTACTACTACT